CAACCAGGAGCAGATTGTGGTACAGACCATGAATATTAAAGCAAACATCATGCTGAAATACAACTTGAAGAACATCCCTGTAGAATTGAAAGATAACACGAAAAACAGATTTGCACTATTAAGCCTAAATGACTAAGAGCCAGAAGAACTCTGGAGAGACCTAAGTGCAACTGTACAACAACTTGCACACAGAGACAAGGAGAACTACTATAATAATCAATGCAGAGAAATAGAAAGGGAAAACAAAAAAAGGAAGAAGAGACCTCTTTCACAAGATCCAAGAAATCAGAGGGAAATTTAAGCCAAGGGATGCTATACGACCAGCAAGGGAACATATTACATGATCAGGGAGAAATAAAAAGAGGATGGAAACAATACACGGGAAAACTATATATAAAAAATGGAAGGATGACTAAATCCATTCAAGGAATAACCATATGAAGACAAACCTGCAATTTTAGAAAGTGAAGAGGAAGCTGCACTCAGAACACTTGGCAAAAATACATCACCAGGAACAGATGGCATACTACTAGAGCTGCTTCATGCTACAGAGAAAGAATCTACTCTAGTTCTAACTAAAATTTGCCAACAAATATGGAAAGCAAAACAATGGCCCACAGATTGGAAACATTCAATATACATTCCAGTCCCCAAGAAAGAGGACAACAGGGATTGCATTAATTTCCCATGGAATTATGCTCAAAATTCTGTAACAAAGACTTTTACTACACATGGAGTGAGAAATGCCAGATGTTTCTGTTGGGTTAAGAAAAGGAATAGAGATTATGGATCATTTGGCAAACACATGTTGGATAACAGAACACACTAAAGAATTTCGAAAGAAAACCAGCCTGTGCTTTAGATTACAGCAAAGTTTGGTCATGACCTTGAAAAACTATGGATTTCTCTTAAAGAAATGGGTGTGATGCAACTTTTGATTGTTCTGATGCACAACCTGTACTCAGGACAGGATGATATTGTTAGGACAGAATACAGAGAAATGGAATGATTTCCAATTGGCAAGGGGGTTAGGCAAGACTGCATTCATCACTCTGTTTGTTAATAATAATAATAATAATGAAACTTATTTGTACCCCGCCCCTCTGCATAGCAATCGGGGTGGTTTCCAACATAAAAATACAACACAATAAGATCAACCCCAACCCCCCACCCTCCCACTTTTTGTTTAACTTGCATGCGGAACATATCCTACATAAAGCAGGATTAGACTTGGAGGAAGGAACCATGAAAATTGGAGGAAGGAATATCAATAATTTAAGGTATGCAGATATACCATACTACTAGGAGAAAACAGAAAAGACTTGGAACAATTACTGAAGAAAATCAAGGAAGAAAGTGCAAAGGCAGATTTACAGTTGAAGATTAAGAAAATAAAATTAATGACCTCAGATTATTTCCTTAACTTTAAAGCAGAAAACTAAGATATTAAAATAGTTTAAGATTTTCCGTACCTTGGCTCAATCATTAATCAGAATGGAGACTGCAGTAAAAAAAATCAGAAGACTAGGATTTGAAAGGGCAGCTATAAAGGAACTAGACAAGATCCTGAAGTGTAACAATATATAATTGAATATTAAAGTAAGGATTGTCCATGCATCGTATTTCCCATTTCTATGTATGGTTGTGAAAGCTGGACAATGAAGAAACAGATAGGAAGAAAATCAACTCATTTGAAATATGGTCCTGGAGAAGAGCTGGATACCATGGTCTATAAATTGGTTCTAGAGCAAATCAAGCCTAAACCCATCCTAGAAGGCAAGATGATTAAATCAAGACTGTTGTACTTTGGCCACATGAGAAGACATGACTCACTAGACAATAATGCTTAGTAAGGTAGAACACAGTTGGAAAAGAGGAAGACCACATTACAGAGGGGATAGACTCAATCAAGGAAGCCACAGCCCTGAGTCTGCAAGACCTGAGCAGGGCTGTCGAGGATAGGATGATGTGAAAGTCCCTCATTCATGGGGCCACCATAACAACGGTCTTTAAAACAGCTTGCATCCAAGCAATATATGACTCGGTAGGTCACAGCCAGCACTTTGAACTGTTCCAATAAATGTGTTGGTAACCAGTGAACTTGTCATAATAACTAATTTCTTTTCTTGGTCAGGAGTCTGGCTACAGCATCTTGAATATGCTGAAGTTTCTAAACACTTTCCAAAGCTACCCACAGAGTGCATTACAATAAACCAAGTGGGATATGACAAAATGTATCTGTATAGCCAGATCAGACATCTTTGGGAATAGGTCCAGCTAGTGTGCTAGTTTTAACTGTGTAAATACACATCCAGTCACTGCTAAAACTGGAGCATCTTGCTCAGGCTGAGCCCAGTGTTTTAACTAAGCTGCAATGCTGAGTTTTCAGCAAAGTATAACCTCAAGGTTGGTTGGATCCTTAGTCTATGATCTGCTTTTTGCCTGACCAGGAGCTCTTCTGTCATATCTGGATTAAGCTTCAAATTGTTCAGCTTTATCCAGTCTAACCAAAAGAAATAGCTGATTACAAATATTATGCTTGCCCTATGATGCCAGCAAGAAAAGAGTAAAAAACTGGTGGTTACGCTTTCTCTTCATTACGCTTTCCCTGTGTTATCTCTTTCAACTATGTTTGTCTGCAAACATATCTGATGGTTCAGTGGGCTCATTACCCTATAGACAACAACTTTTAGATGTCTCTAAGCAATTTGCTTAACAAATTAATTCTTAGTGGGTAAGGTGGCCTTCAGAAAAAAATGAAAATTAATTTTTATTGTACCTTCTAATTATGTTTTGGTCAGGTTTTTCTTATTACAATGACTGTGAGACCCACAAGTGATTAACTCCAAAATAAGACTCACCAGAGAGTGAACGCTTCCCCTGTGGACAGTTCCCCTGCCAAAGAGAAAAATGATAAAATCACCATTGCAAAGAGTGCTCAGGTATAATTCAAGGCAGATTCATCTCATGACATTTCACATTTTACATTAGACAAACATTCTAGGCAGATTAATGATCTTTCATATTTTGCATTAGACAAAAATATACTTGGACTCAATAGGTCATGGTGGCTCAATAATAGGATGTAACCTGTCAGAGAAAGAAGTTCTAAGTTAGCAACAGCATTTTTTCATAGGAAAAATATGTCCAGAAGGTTTTTTTGTTTCCTGTTATGTTCACAAGATTATGTTTAATGGGACTTAGTGTGTACAAGGTCTTAATGAACGACAAGAATGACATACTGAACCTTACAATAGTTTATATACTTGTATATTATGTGATAGCTAAATATAAAAGTATGACAATCACATAATTTATAACTTGGATCTTTAATCCAAAAAGCAGTGATTGGTGCTATAAAGATTTATTTCAAACACTCAGGTTAGGAAACAAAGTATTCCTTTGAAGTATCATGAAGCCCAAACCTTTAGATTCTGCACTCTTTAAAGTGAAAAGCTTTCTGACTGTAGATTCTGCCAAGAGTGTTAACTTTGATACATTTGTTTCAATCAATTAACAATTATATACCACTTTTGTACAAACATTTAAAAGATGATATAAATGCAATGCAGAAGAAAAGGTAGGTTCAAATCCACGGTTAGCCCCCAATGATCTTGAAAATTTGATGACCATATTTTGCAACCAGAAGGTACAGTAGATTAGTGTGATAGTACCATGTTCTGGCAGGAATTCCTATTATGATCAAAGAAACTTTTAACTAATGACTGTACCTTCTGTTATTTTCTATATACACAATATTCTATATACAGAGTAAATAATCAAGAATGTTTGTAATGAATGCATAGCCTGGATTGCTAGCTTTAGATATGGCCATCTCAGACATTTCAGAATATGTACGGTATACAACAATTAAAGCAGAGCACAAAATAAATAATTAAAAAATGCAGCAGCACTCTGTGCTTCTGAGTATACCCACTAGAACTCCTTGATAGAACTGAAGCTTCATGTTACATGGTTCCTCAGTTAAGTTTTTCAAATTTTTTGTTGTTGTTGTTAAGTGCCCTCAAGTCGATCTCAACTCATGGCGACCCTATGGATGAGACATCTCCAAGACCCCGTACTCCACTGCTCTGCTTAATTTCTGCAACCCCTTAATACCTGTGACCTC